CCCCAAAACCCCAAAACCCCAAAACCCCAAAACCCCAAAACCCCAAAACCCCTCTTCAGAGTTACCAGATTGATTTTTCTAAAATAATTTATATTTCTAGACAAAAGAAAATGTCAAGATGTAAGTACCCTACGACCACTCATTTGGTCCAGAATTCAATTCTAAACCGTTTAAATGCCTCAAATCTACCTAAAACAGCCATTTAACCTTAGTTTAGACGAAAGGAATACTGGCATTAGGGGCACACTAGGAAGTATCTTCGGTCCTCCAACTGCAAGCTATCAAGATGAGGTGATGAGACCTTCTGTTTTGGAGAAGGAAGAGATCAAAGTAGAGAGTGCACTTGAACTAGAACAGAGTTATAAGGGCAGACATGTGATCGTGACAGGGGCCAGTGGAGCTATTGGGTCTGAAGTGGCGAAAATTTTGTTAAATGCTGGTGCAAAGGTGGTGCTGTTTAGCAAGAACATGAACTTCCTCGCAAAGTATCATGGCAAGAAGAACACTAATCTCTTCACATATACATTAGACTTTGCTTTCAACCCTTTGTCTCTTGACACCCAATTCAGGAACGCTATGAAGGACCTGAAAGGAGTTCTTCACACTCTTATCATTTGCCACGGTAATGTATTTCCAGGCAGTTTAACTGAACTTAATCTTCTTAACTGGGATGAGTGCATGAATCTGAATGTCAGAAGTATTTTCATGACTGTCTCACTAGCCATACCTTTTCTGAAGCTCCAGAAGGATGAAGATCCAAACGTTTGTATAGTCACAGGTGATGCTGGGTTCAATCCCTACCCTGGATTCGCAGCCCATTCTATAGCCAAAGCAATGATCAACTCTTTTATAGAATGCGCAGCATTGGAGATGGCATATTTTGGCATAAGAATTAACGGAGTTGCACCTTCACTGACTACTAAATGTTTCCAAGATCTTCAAGGAGAAGACACTAAAAATAAAGGAGTTGAGAAAACTCTTCATATTGGCGAAGCACAGATTCCCTTTGAGATGCATCCTTTGGTTATTGAAGAGCTTGGAACTTATCCTGACCCAAAAATTACAGAGGCTGAGGAAATAGCAGATGCCATTTGTTGGTTATGATCAGATGAAGCCAGTTTTGTCACTGGAGAAATCACAAAAATCGATGGAGCATTCTCATTAACAAAGTCTAATTATGTTGAATATGAGAAGGAATTCATTCCAAAACCAAAGGACAGAGAAATGTACCGTGAGAAGTTCTTCTCATAATCTGGATTTTCTTAAAGAGCTTGATATAACAATTATGTGTCTTCAATATTTTCTCGTTAAGTTGGGGTTTTGGGGTTTTGGGGTTTTGGGGTTTTGGGGTTTTGGGGTTTTGGGG